ACAAAAAAAAAAAAAAAAAATGAGTTCACCATTAATTATGATGCCAGGTATAGGTTTTTTTATAGATATTCATTAATAAGTTGAAGAAGTTCCCTTCTATTCCTAGTTTTCTCAGTTTTTATCATGAGCAGGTATTGAATTTTATCACATGCTTTTTCAGCAAATGTTTTACTTTTTTTAATGGTTGCTCTTGGAATTACAATATGCATTCTTAACTTACTAGAGTCTGCCTTGAATTAATATTATATCATAACATGTAATGTAAGAACCTTATAACTGTGTATTTCCATTTACCCCACTCCCATCCTCTGTGCTATTGTTGTCATACATTTTACTCCAGGATGGGATCATATTTTTGCTTTAAACATTTAGTTGTTTTTAAAAGAAATTCAGAGATATGGGAGGGAAAGTCTTTATACTACCTAACTGTGATATTATGACCTATAATAAGAAATATATATATTTGATCTTCATCTTGTTCCTGGCACAGAGCTCTTTTGGAGTTTTATAAGTGATAAGAGTGATCAAGTTATCTTTGTTATGTTAGTGACTGGTCTTTCAGAAAGCATTTGGTGACCTAAGGATAGGAGCTGGTTGCCAGGGGAACCATGTAATTAGAGAGCTGGGACTCCAACACTCCACTCCCAGCCCTCCCCCCACCCCACCCCCACCTCCTGGGAATGGGCAGGGGCTGGAGGTTGAGTTCAATTACCTATGGCCAATGATTTAATCAGTCATGCCTATCTAATGCAGCTTCCTTGAAAACCCAAAAGGCCTGGGTTCAGAGACCTTCCACGTTGGTAAACAGGTGGAGATGCCTGTAGAGTGATGTACCCAGAGAGCATGGAAGGGCCTCACCCTTTCCCCATACCTTATGCATCTCTCCCATTTGGCTGTTCTTGAGTTATATCCTTTTATAATAAACTGGTAATCTAGTAAGTAAAGTGTTTCTCTGAGTTCTGTGAGCCACTGTAACAAATTAATCAAACCTAAGATGGGTTTCTGGGAACCTTCGATCTATAGCTAAGTGGTTCAGAAGCACACAGGTCAACAACCTGGACTTTCCAATTAGCACCTGAAGAGAGAGTGGGAGGGCAGTCTTGTAGGATTGAGCCCTTAACCTGTGGTATTTACACTATGGTAGTGTCAGAATTGAGTTAATTGCTTAGTGGTGCTGAAATAAAACACACATCAGATCCACATAGCTACCATTTTGGGTGCTCTTCTTTCTTTGTTGAAGATCCAAGTTCCATTTGGTATCATTTCTCTTCCACCTAAAGAACTTAACTTCTTTTAACATTTTTTGTAGTGCAGGTCTACCGTAATGAATTCTCTCAGCTTTTGTTTATCTGGAAATGTTTTTATTTTACCTTCATATATGAATGGTGTTTTTACTTCATATGAGTTCTAGATTGATAGGTATTTTTAATTTATTTTAAAGATGTTCCATTTTCTTCTGGCTTGCTGATGAGAAGTCATTAGAATTTCTTACTTTTGTTCCCTTATATGCCATGTCTTTTTTCTCTGGCTGCTTTTTTTTGTTTTCAGCAATTTGATTATTATAACTAGGTGTGGTTTCCTTTATGTTTATCCTGCTTGGGGTTTATTGAGATTCTGGAATCTGTGAGTTGATATTTTTGATCAATTTTTGAAATATCTTGGCCATTATTTTTTGCCCCAAACTTTCATCTTCTGGGAATTCAAGTACATATACATTAAGCTGTATGACACTGTTCCACAGAACACTGAGGATCTGGTGTTTTCTACTGTTGTTGTTTTGTTTTATTTTGTTTTGATTTGTCTTTTTTTTCCTCTTTTTCACGTTGGATCGTCTTCATGCTCCCTGATCTTTTCTTTTGTGGTGCCCAATTGTTGTTAAGCCTATCCAGTGATTTTTTTTTTCAGGTATTGTGTTTTTCAGCTCTAGAGTCTCCATTTGGTTCATTGTTATAGTGTCCATTTCTCTTTGCTAAGTGTCCCCATCTAATCACTGATTATATATATCTTGGTTAGTTGGTCGGCTGGTTGGTTGGTTGGTTGGTTAATTTTAAACATATTTATAATAGCTGTTCTAAAGTCCTTGTCTACTAATTCCAACATCTGTATCAGCTCTTAGCCTGTTTCTATGGACATTTTGCTCCTGGTTATGAATCACATTTTCCTGCTTTTTCCCCCGTCTAATAATTTTTTATTGTGTGCTGAACATTATGAATGCCACATTGTTGAGAGTCTGAAATTTGCTGACTTCCTTTAAAGAGTATTGAGTTTCATTCTTGCAGACAGTGATTTACTGGCAGATTAGCTTTCTCCTTTTAAGGCTTGTTTCTAGGATTTGTAAGGGTGTTCTAAATCAACCCTTCTTAGGATACTAGTCTTGTAGCTTAGTCTTTCTGGGGCTGCACCTGAATGCCCAACATGTTCAATGAGATCTCTCCTCTGGCTCATTGAAACCCCATGTCTTGCAGCACTGGGTACTCTCCCGAATTCCCAGTCAGCTCATAGCTCCTCACTAGCTGTTCTCTCCCAGGCTTTTGGATCTTCTCCCTGTCCGTGTGCCAAGGGGGCCCCTTACACATATTTCTTGAGCTCCCTCTTCTTTGACACAAATTCCAGCCACCTCAGCTCTACTGAACTCCAGTCTCTGTTTGCTGTGCCCAACAAGCCCACTGCTTTCTGTTTGGGACCCACGCTTTCCTCTGCCTTAGTTAGAAAGTGCCCCCAGCAAGAAATCTGGGGTAAACATGGGGTTCACCACCTTTGTTTCCCTTCTCTCAAGAATAATAGTCATTTGTAGTAGCTTGTCCAATGCCTGAAAATAGTTATTTCATATATTTTATACAGGTTTATAATTATTGATAACAGGAGAGTAAATCCAATACCAGCTGTACTTGTTAAGGCTGGATCTGGATGTTAGCCTTCCTCTGTATCTTGTTTTTAAATTTTGAATTTGAATTGCTATAGATAATTGTACCTCCATTTCCTACTATGTCCAATACATTAAAATTACTTTCTTGTCCCTTGGATATTTCTGGGTTTGCCATCTTGGGTTATAAAACCAGGACAAATGCAGGCCCTGGAATAAAAATTGGAAGAAAAAATACAGTTTGAAATAAAAGTTATTAAATAGGAAAACTGTCTTGTGAAAGTAATAGGCCAAATACAGAGTAGAAATTAAACTTTAAAAGAATTGGGGGAATATCTTATAAATGTAATAATTTGGAGTCCTTTGTATTAAAAAAGAAAATTTGTCAGAGAAGGTATAGAATCGTACTTAAAAAAAAAACACATTAAAGAGATAAAATGGGGCTTCCCTGGTGGTGCAGTGGTTAAGAATCCACCTGCCAATGCAGGGGACACGGGTTCGAGCCCCGGTCCGGGAAGATCTCACATGCCGCAGAGCAACTAGGCCCATGTGCCACAACTACTGAGGCTGCGCTCTAGAGCCCGTGAGCCACAACTACTGAGCCTGCGTGCCACAACTACTGAAGCCCACATGCTAAAACTACTGAAGCCCATGTGCCTGGAGCCCATGCTCTGCAGCAAGAGAAGTCACTGCAATGAAAAGCCTGCGCACTGCAAAGAAGAGTAGCCTATGCTCACCGCAACTAGAGAAAGCTCGCGCGCAGCAACGAAGATCCAACACAACCATAAATAAATAAATAAATAAATAAATAATTTTTTTTAAAAAAAAGATAAAATGGATTTTCACCAATATTACAGCCTTTTTAAAACTTTTGAATGGTAAGAAGCAAAGGTTTTAAAGTATTTATTCTGCTTTTTTACCCTTGCTTTTACACAGATAATACCTGTGCCTGGTGGAACAGCAAAGGGAAAGGGGAAAAAAGAAAATAAAAATGAATAGATACTTTGTTATTTATCATTTTTATGTGACAGTGGCACAAAGAGCACCCTGTTTTTCCAGATGTTGCAAAACTGCAAAGGGGCAGTTGTAGAAGAAAGAACTCTGAGATCTGGAGCTAGCTCTGTTGCTGCCATCTCCTTATCTGCTCATGAGCCGTCTATTCCTCAGAACGGCTATGACAAGCAGACCTGGCAAGAACCACCAAACAAACCTTCAGGCAAAAACCTTCAGGCAGTCCAGAGATTCACCCTGTGCATCTGAGATTCATAACTTTTTTGGGGGGAAGCTGACTTTGCTTTTAGAACAATGAGTTTGATTCACCTTTCTGAAGCACAGCCCCCATTTTACAGCTATCCTGCTCAGAAGCCTCTGAGTGTGCTCCAACCCACCCTCGCTGGCCAAGCCCTGCCCTGCACAGAGTGACAAAGTCAAGGGCCAGAGTACCTCTGGGACTCTTAAGTCCTAGACTTGAAATTTAAGAAGGCTGCAGTGCCCCAGCTATTACTTTTGCTTCTTTGTTTTTACCCATGTTTATCCCTGCACTGAAATGCCTCCTGCCTCGGGCCTTCTTTACTCCTAGACCACCGTCAGCAGTGCCACCTCCTCCATACGAAGGCTGCTTCCAGCCCCTTGACCAAATGTACTCTCTTCTCTGTGTCTCTAGAGCGCCACAGGCACCTCACATACGTGTACACTTGCCCTGTGCTTTATGTAGGTTCCTGTTGCATACTTCTTGCTCCTGTTCAACTATCAGCTTTTTTAGAGTAATATCTTCTTTTATTTCTCTTATTATTCCTTGTTTCTGCCAAACAGTACCTGGCACATTATGGCCATTCAGAAATACGTAATCTCATGATTAATTCTCTTGGTTACAGTATGATATAATTCTTCTTAACGTGTCCTAAACTAGTCTTTTTCAAATATCAAAGACTTTCCCTCCTTCTGACAGTTGCGAATTTATGAACAAATCCATTTCTGCCCTGTCCACAAGCTTTGTGATTTTGTAGGCCTTCACTGTATTCCTTCTTAGCCTTCTCTGGATTAGGGCAAAGGTTAGAGCATTCAGGGAGAATTGTGGTATATGTTCCATGAAACAATAATTGTGATGGTAAACTCTCTCTATCTCTTCTCCACACAGAGAGATGTTCTTTACAACCATGGAGAGCCACCTTCTGCGCTGCAAAGTGCTGGAAATCATATTCCTCCACAGCTGTGAGACACCCACCCGCCTGCCCTTGTCTCTGGCCCAGGCCCTCTATTTTCTGAACAATTCCACATCACTGCTCAAGTGTCAGGTACATTTTTCCCTATTTCAGTTCCAAGCCTAGAACACCTTTTCCTTAATCCTTGATTAAGTAAATTATGTAAAAGTGTAAAAGTGTTTTACACTTTTTTACATTACGTAAAAGTGACTTGAAAACTGTACAAAACCTCTAACTGAGGAAGGCATTTATTACCAATTGCTTTTACTATCTCTGCAGTCGGATAAAACCCAGTGGCAGACATGGGATGAACTGGTTGAGCATCTACAGTTTCTGTTATCCAGTTACCAACATGTTTTAAGAGGTAAGGAGTCACAAACCAGACGGTGTGGGAGTCTCACAGTGGACATTTTTATGAATTAAAGTTACATAAGGGACTCTAATTTGTTAGCTTCAGTAAACCATTGTTCCTTGGTGTAACTGTGAGGAACAAGGAAGGACATAGCCGGAATCACTGCTGTGAAACAGAAGAATTCACATAGTATTTTTGTTATGGCAGATACTACAGTGGTCCTCACAGTTATTAGGCTGTGCAGGTAAACAAAAGTCATCCTAACATGAGAAGGATTTAGTAATGACCTGATTTGGCCCTGGCATCTTTCCCTGGCCTATCACTGCAGCGTCTTTGTTGGGTTGATTGCTCACTGACTCGGACATTGTAAATATCCGTCAATATGATGCAAATACAGAGCAAATCAGTGGCAAAGTAAAAATGTACATCTTGCAAAAGTTGTAAGACACTCTTAAGTCTGTGAAGGTGGCTCTGCTCTAGTCACAAGCAAAGCCAGTGATCCGTGAGGATCTGGAAAAGTTAGACTAATTAACACTCGGGGGCAAATATTGACAAGGATAATGATGGAATAGCTGCTTCAGATGAGAATGATTTGATTAGCCAAGGATTAATGTGGTCCCTGGGGAAACTAATGTAATTATTAATTACATAAGGAAAGATAGTAAGTTTTCAGGGGAGAAAACTGACATGCCTCTTGATGTGATACCCTGAGAAGGACACCTCATCACTTATGTAGTGTTCTTGCCAAAAATTCATGACCTGAATCTAATCAGAAGGAAGCATCAGACAAACCCAGATTGAAGGGCTTTTACAAAATAGCTGGCCTGTACTTTCAAAAGTCACAATGTCTGAAAAACAAAGAAAGACTGAAGAACTGTTCCAGATTAAAAACAAACTAAAGCACATGAATATTAAACGTAAAACATGATCCTGGATGGGATCCTGAACCAGGAAAAAAGAAGTTATAATGTGCATTATTGGGACAATTGGTAAATTTTAAGTAGATTATATAATAGTATTGTGTTAATATTAAGTTTCATATTTTTTTATAATTATCCTGGCTTATGAAAGTAAATACCCTTGGTCTTAGGAAATCCATTCTCAAGTATTGAGGGGCACAATGTCCAACTTATTCTCCATCAGTAAGGGGGGAAAATGCATACACACACACACACACACACACACACACACACACACACATAATTTACCTGCCATGATCATATTGAGGTTGATTTTAGCTCAGTAATGGCACTTGGGAAGATAAGATGGTCCTTATACCCTCTTGGGCCTGGAATTGAGGAAGCTGTTACAGAAACATTTTTAAAAGCCCTGGATTTAAGACAGAAGATCTGGGTTTAAATCCCAACTCCATCACCTACTCTGCATTGGGCAGCTAACTTTATGTCTCTAGACCTCAGTTTCTTCCTTCTATAGAACGGGGATGGTAATACATAACTTGCCAAGACTGATTGCTAATGGGCGTGAGATAAAAGTAGAAAGAGCTCAGTCAGTGTTAGCTGCCTGTCATCTGGCCAGGAGTAGGCTACAAGGGTCTTCGCTGTTTCAGGCGCCTGTAACTAAAACATAAGAGAGAGCATTGTCAAGGCCACGACATGTAATTGTGTGGTTTGTGCATTTTTTAACACGCTCAAAGAAAGGTACGTGTCCTTCTCAGAACAAAGCCCCAAAGGCAAATTCCATGCCTCATGGAGGTTTATGTAATTGTTTCTTTTGGAGATCTAGCTGAAAGTTTAATATTAAAGCAGCTCAGTTTTGCTTAAAGTTCACCTTTAACACTTCTTGTTCATTTCTGTTTTGCGTCCCAGGGAATACACCTGGGTCATGGGCAATAGTAATTTAAGATGGACATGGGATCTACTTTTATTACAGAATATTATGCTGCCTTGAATAAAGGAGAGGAAGGCCTCAGACCAGTGTATATTGACCAAGAATAAATGGGGTGTGTTCCAATGATATTTTATCCTTAACGTCGTTTCCAGCTTCTTTGGAGACCAGAAGTTAAGAAGGAGAAAAAAATATTTAGAACCAGTAGTTTGAAAACAGAGTCCTACAAAGAACTACAAAGAACACAGCTGAATGTTTCCCTGAAATGGTCAGTGTCCTTGTCAGTAGGCATTTTACTGTGAGGGCTCCTTAGTCATCTCTGTCCTCTTCAAGTGGGCTGAGGACATTGTTGAGTGCGTTTTGAGGTCGGAGTTGTCCAGCTCCAAGGGCAGGGGAAGAAGGGAAGAGGTTGGGGAGCCTAAGCTCGCCCTATGTTTATGGGAACCTCTTAGCATGGAGGAAGAGAGGAAGGGAGCATAGGTAAATGCGCATGCACTGGCTTATCTAACCCAGTAACCCTGTGAAGGTGAGTACCACCCGCCTTTCACAGATGGGAAAACAAAGGCTGAGAGGAAAGTAAATGCAGAGCCAGGTCTGTTGCCAAAGTCTGTATATGGTGAAAGCACACTGGAAGGAATTAATTTTCTATGAAATCACTGGGTGAGATTAGAAGGTGAGATTCTAAGGAATTTCCGACCCCCCACTTTCTAAACTCTCTATACATGGTTAAAATACTTTAGTATCTACCCTTGATCCTGGGGAGAAGTATATCTTGAAGCCCCACCTCTTGTAAATGTTTCTGTAGAAGGCAGAGTAGCCCCACTGAGAGGTGAATGCTGGACTGTTGGCTGAGCTCACATTCTCTGGCTGAAAGAATCAATCCCCCACACCCCAGTTTCACAACCATGCAACTCAAGTCAGCCTTGGCAAAATTATGAATTGCCATAATGCCGTGAGTTTTCCTGATGCTTATGAATAATTAGAACCTCATATTTTGAAACTATGAATTCTAGGAATTTAAACATATAGTATTTAAATGAATGAAATGCATGCTTTTCCTGAATTCCGCTCTGCTGGACCACTTAGGGCAATATGGAAGTCAGACACCTGTTCCCTCCAAGGAGAGTCTCACATACAGCCTTCCTGCAAGGAGCCCTGTCCACAGAGGGGAGAAAAGCAGACTCAGGCAAGATCAGTTAAGTTCATACATTCATCCAGGCAACAAATATTTACTGGATGCCTCCTCTTTGCCTGGCTCATTGGGAAAACTTCAGTGAATGAGACCAACATGGCCCCTGCCCTCCTAGAGCTTAACTGTCTAGTAAAGAGATTGACCCTAAACAAACCACCACACAAGTAACATATAATTGCAATGAAAATAAATGCTGTGAAGGAAAGTACAAGTGCACAAAACAGGACTTACACTGTTTATGGAGGAACCCAGGAAGGCCTCCCTGAAGAAGTGATACTTGGGCTGAGATATGAAATACCAGTGTTAGCCAAGCGAATAGGGAGGGAAAAGTTTCCCAGAAAGAAGAAACAGCATGTCCAAGGGCCTTGAGACAAGAAGTTGCTTAATGAGTCCAAGGAACATAGAGCAAACTGGTAGGACTAGGATACAGTGAGCAAGGGGGGAATAGCACGAAACGAGACCACGGTACTAGACAGGAGCAGGCGTGAAGGGCCCTCCTGTTAGGGAGTTCGTGTTAAGGAATTTCACCTTGATTCCAGAGTGAAGGGAACCCATCAAAGTGGTTTTAAGTAAGGTCACTCTGCCTGATATGTGATAAATAGTTTGGCCAAGGACCAGAGAGGTCAGGGGAGGGATAATGGTGACAGGGGTGTGGGTGGTGCAGTGGAGAAGGCAGTGACGAATCAGAAGTACTTTGAAGATCAGTGTGACAGGGCATGGGTGACCAAGGCTGAAGGATGACGCCCAGGGTTCTGCCAGTGCTGACGTGGGGATAAATGGAAGATCTGCAGAGAAGATAAAGAGCTCAGTGTGACTGTTAGATTGGAGATTCCTGTAGTGACGATGATGATGATAAAATAATAGTAGCTGATCCTAGTGTTGATCCAGGAACTAATAATACGACCAGCCAGAATATCTTGAGCCAGGCCTTGTGCCAAATAAACGCTTTACATAAATCACCTCACACAATAATCACAAGAACCTCCGATGTAAGAACCCTCCTCTACTGAAGCATAAAATCCAGGACCTTGCCAACTGGACCAGAATGGTTCAAGTCCACTGGCCAAGACTTCCTCCCCTTGGATGGTGGTTAGGTGGGCACTGCCAACCTTTGCTTCTTTGAATTTCCTGTATTAATAAATTCTAAATTCTTCTTGCTCCTAACCCACGTGCTCCCTATCCCACTCTATTCAGCCAGCTCTATCTTTTCAAAGTCATTTAAATTTTTTTCAGAGTAGTGCATGCTTTGTTTAAGAAAATCAAATTCTACTCAAAGGCTTTTGTCCCCTGTGACCGTTCTCCCCCAGTAGCAGAGTGAAATAGAGCACATTTCCCTGCTTAAAACCCTCCAGATACTTGCCTTTGCTTTCAGAGGCCAAACTCCACATTGTTCTGTGGCCCAGCCTGCCTGCCAGTCTCCTCTAGTCCCGCTCTCCTTCTTACTACCCGGATCTTACCTCCAGTTCTTGAAACAAGCTCTTCCTGCATCATGGCATTTGCACTTGTTCTCTCTATCTGGACTGCTTTCCCCCTAGACCTTTGCATGCTTACCTCCTTCTCATCCTTTGGGACTCAGCTAAGAGGCCCTCCTGACTAGAGTGAGCTGCTTCCCTCGTTTCCCCAGTGTTCCTCTTCATCACAACACCTGATTTATTTATTGGGTTGCACTCACCAAAACTATAATTGTTTTTGTTGGCTTGTTCACTGTCAGGCACTGTCACTGCAGCTAGAATGTCAGTCCATGAGGGCTGGGCCCAACTGCCAGTCTCTAGTCCCGCTCTCCTTCTTACTACCCGGATCTTACCTCCAGTTCTTGAAACAAGCTCTTCCTGCATCATGGCATTTGCACTTGTTCTCTCTATCTGGACTGCCTTCCCCCTAGACCTTTGCATGCTTACCTCCTTCTCATCCTTTGGGACTCAGCTAAGAGGCCCTCCTGACTAGAGTGAGCTGCTTCCCTCGTTTCCCCAGTGTTCCTCTTCATCACAACACCTGATTTATTTATTGGGTTGCACTCACCAAAACTATAATTGTTTTTGTTGGCTTGTTCACTGTCAGGCACTGTCACTGCAGCTAGAATGTCAGTCCATGAGGGCTGGGCCCAAGGCTGTGATCCCACTGCATCCCTGAAGTCTAGCCCAGTTCCACAGACAGAGTAGGTGCTCACTGTAAATGCTTGTTGATTGGATGTTGAAAGGGCCCTGTAATGACATCTCAAGGCAGCTTCACCTCCTGTTTCCAGACTTTTTGGATACTCTGCAGTGTATTTATTGTACTTTCTTTTCAGTTTATTCTGTTTCCCAAATTTCTGGACACTGTAGTTCAGTCCTTCTAATAACCCTGTTAATGAAGATGCCATTACCCCCATTTTATAAATGAGATAGAGAAAATGATACTGTTGTGGCCTCTGGCGCACCTGGGAGTCAGAAGGGCTGCAGGGCTCTTCTCACTTCATTTGCCTTATATGTAACCTTGAGCTCCTTTCCCTCAATTCCACACACTTCCAGAACCTTGTTGGGACTGAGTTATGGATTTGGGATGAGATACCTTTAGACCTTTGTACTTTCCCCCAGTATTTTATTTTTGGACTTACAGAAAAGTTTAAAGCGTAGTACCGTGCACAACCATATAAACTTTACCTTGATTCATAAGCTGTTAACATTTTGCCACATTTGATTTATCTATTGATCCATCTATATGCTTTTTTCTTTTTCTTTTTTTTTGCTGAACCAGTTAAGAGTAAGTTGCACTGTCATAATCCTTCATGCTTAAATACTTCAGCTTAAGAATATGAATATTCCCCTACATAGCAACTATTCATCATCCCACTCATTTTATCCTTGATTGAATATTATCTAATATGTGCCGGTAATATCCTTTATAGGTGTTCAGTTTTGCTTTGGGCCAAGATTCAGTCAAACAGCACACATTGTACTTGGTTGTTATGCTCTTCAGTCTCCTGTCATCTAACACAGCTCCCAGCCTTTACTTGTCTCTCGTAATATGTACATTTTTGAAGAGTCCAGGGCAGTTATTTTGTAGAATGCCCCACAATTGGGGTTGCCTAGTTATTCTCTGGTGACGAGCAAGAACATGGAAGAGATGAGGATGTACACCCCTTTCCCAGTGCGTGACGTCAGAGGCAGAGACTTGGGCCCAGCCCTCATGGACTGACATTCTAGCTGCAGTGACAGTGCCTGACAGTGAACAAGCCAACAAAAACAATTATAGTTTTGGTGAGTGCAACCCAATAAATAAATCAGGTGTTGTGATGAAGAGGAACACTGGGGAAACGAGGGAAGCAGCTCACTCTAGTCAGGGAGGGCCTCTTAGCTGAGTCCCAAAGGATGAGAAAAGGATGAGAAGGAGGTAAGCATGCAAAGGTCTAGGGGGAAAGCAGTCCAGATAGAGAGAACAAGTGCAAATGCCATGATGCAGGAAGAGCTTGTTTCAAGAACTGGAGGTAAGATCCGGGTAGTAAGAAGGAGAGCGGGACTAGAGGAGACTGGCAGGCAGGCTGGGCCACAGAACAATGTGGAGTTTGGCCTCTGAAAGCAAAGGCAAGTATCTGGAGGGTTTTAAGCAGGGAAATGTGCTCTATTTCACTCTGCTACTGGGGGAGAACGGTCACAGGGGACAAAAGCCTTTGAGTAGAATTTGATTTTCTTAAACAAAGCATGCACTACTCTGAAAAAAATTAAAATGACTTTGAAATACATTTTTTAATACGTAAAACTTGAGGTCCAGAGAGAACCAAGAACAAAGGACTGGAAATGGAGGTACCACAGGTACTCACATGCCCTTTGACTTGTATCCTAGTAACTCATCAAGTCTTTGCCTAGACCCTACCTACCAAAATTGAACTTCATCTTCCCAAGTCATAAAGGAATAAAAAGCAGTTCAGAACAGTTCCGCTGACCTTTTCCCTCTTGCAGAGCACTTACGGAGTTCAGTGATCGATCGAAAAGACTTAATAATCAAAAGGATTAAGCCCAAGCCCCAGCAAGGAGATGACATCACAGTGGTGGATGTGGAGAAACAGATCGAGGCCTTCCGCAGCCGCCTGGTCCAAATCCTGGGGGAGCCGCTCGTCCCGCAGCTCCAAGACAAGGTGCACCTGTTGAAGCTCCTGCTTTTCTATGCCGCAGACCTGAACCCTGACGCAGACACCTCTCCACAGGCCTGGAGCAGACCCTGAGGTCCTTCTAAGCACTGAACGCCAAGAATACCTCCTGAACTCCATCTCAAACTACTTGGAAGTTCTTAAAGTATAAAAAGTAGTTTAAAATCTTATAGGACCAAACCTATCTTATTTATCTGTAGGCTATAATAACTTTCTGTTTAGTAAATATCTTTTTTTTTTATAATCCTATCCTAGCCTATTCTCAGATATGGCTTAAATATATAAGGTGTATATATTTTTTAATAAATTATTTATACTTTTTTGAAACAGGTAATACTATATGCACTATATGTTTAACATTTCAAGATGTGAAAAAAGAATCCGTGTGAACAAATTCTAGACATCAATGTTATGTCATTCAAGGTACTGACAACCTGTTTCGAAAGAGACATATTTGTTTCTCCCTAATGGAAAACAAACATCCTATATTGGACCTGTGCTATTGCCTATGAAGTTGACTTTGTGGCCAGTCTGTCAAGATCTAATGCAATGAAAGGGGTAAAAACAAAAGGATTGAGTGTGTTACAAAAAATTTGATGTTAAAAGCATACAATAAAAAAGCAATGGTTTTTCAAAATACCAAGTTTATCACGCTTCGGTTTCATGACTGCGAGCAGGCAGAATGGAATAACTACTCTTAACAGAACCAAAAAAAGTTCCATCCACATTTGAGAAAGTAGTAAGGATTTTTATTGTCAAAACAAGTTAAGAGATACAAGCATAACAGAAGACACAAATAAATTAACTGTTCTGATCATTTTAGACTCCAGGGCATCTCTGTGGGAAGGTCAGCTCAGCTCCTTGTGTAGATACCATACTGTCCAAAGCAAAAGACAGCAGGAA